AATTGATTCGTTAATGAAGGATTCTCCAAACATTTCCTATCACTCTCTCTAAAAATTCCAGTGATTTTTTAACCTGAACGTCAATTTTTTATGGAATAGTATTAAATAATTTTTCCCTCATCCCACCAATATCCAGACGATAGTGAATAATTTTTCAAGGTTGCAGCAACCTTTGTGCACGTCTGTATCCGTTGCATTCACGTGCATTCCATGGGTGCAGGCAGTTGAGAGAATGGAGTTCTATTCGAATGGAAAAATCCCTTCCACGGGCCATTGATTCGCTCCAAGACTCGAATATTAATAAATAAATTCACCTCATGGCTACATGAAAACCATTTGAAACTTCATTCTCTCCCTGCTGCATCTACATTTGAATATTCTCTATAATTAGAGCCTAAAAAGAAGAGACGAGACAATAATAGGATTTGCACTGGTAGCCAAGTTCGAGGGCCCTCATCAATTCGATCACTCATTACTAAACCAAATCAATTAAAAATCAACACGAATTTAATCGAAAGAGCAATTCCTCACGAGTGAAAATCAGGGACTGGAAATTTTCTGATTAAAATTCTGCAATTGTCCCATTTTTACTGTCATGGCGACACATGAAATGAATTTAAGATTTTATTTTTAAACAACTCCAACCCGATGTATTTTTAATGGATTCTGTAAAGATAGAAATCCCAGAGACGGAATCAATATCGAACATCAAATTTTCGATGGTTCTGGGTTCAAGCTGGAGATATGATTGATTTGAGATAGAGAAAATTGGATTTGACGTGAATTTAAAATGAAAATTAAAGAATTATTCTTGAGGAGAAAATCCAGGATGTCTCTTGGTAGATTGCCAATGTCTACGAAGTGACACTTTGACAAACAAATTGCATCTGCCAGTTTCACTGCCAATGGCGTTTCAGGCCTCTATCTCAAATTATCTTTTCGTCCAGTGTAAACACATTTTCTTTTCGGTTGAAAACCGAATGTTTTTCACCGCCAGCTGAACCATTGGAGGCTTTGAACCATGAAAATTTAAATCCCGTTATTTTCCCAGGAATTTTAATTAATTACACGATAGTTATGGGTTTAAATTATCATTTGGAGATTGTAAATTAGCCGGACATTTAGGTGCCACCGTAAATCAGAGGTCGGGCTGTTAATTTTGAC